GGGCGAGAAAGCCCCGTTCGTAAGTGCGGATCCGACATAAGTCGGATCCGCGTAAGTCGGGGACTGCCTGTATGGAGAAGTTTGGTTTGTCACAGTTGGATGCAGGTGTAACCCAGACCACTGATGGCTTGGGTCAGCAACTGGCCTGTAATCGGGGCTTTCTCGCCCCGACCTCCGGGGCGAGAAAGCCCCGTTCGTAAGTGCGGATCCGACATAAGTCGGATCCGCGTAAGTCGGGGACTGCCTGTATGGAGAAGTTTGGTTTGTCACAGTTGGATGCAGGTGTAACCCAGACCACTGATGGCTTGGGTCAGCAACTGGCCTGTAATCCTAGGTGCCACAGAATGCTTTGCTGCTGTAGCCCTCAACCTGGGCAGCTCACAACCAGCCTACCAGCATGAGTATTGGAATATCGGAAAGTCCTGTGTCTATGACCCAACCCTGGCTTTAGGGTTGCCATTTGTTTAATTCTGCAAATCCAAAGACTTTGCCCTGCTTCTGTCCAATCCTTTCTCTGATGGCCTGCCCCCAGTTCACTCCATCTCCCTTTTCTGCATTGCTTGTTTTCTCCTTCCCTCACTCATTTTCACCTGGCTAAGGAAGGGGGTTGGATACAGGAGTGGATATGGGATGCAGGCTATATGAAGAAGCTTAGGTGTGAGAGAGGGCTAGGGGTCAGGCTCTGGGAGGGATTTTGGGTGCATGCTCTGAGCTGGGGCAGGGAGTTGAGGTATGGGATTGTGTCAGGAATCGGGCTCTGGGAGGGAATTTGGATGTGGGATGCAGGCTCCGAGCTGGGACAGGAGGCTGGAGTGCAGGAGAGTGTGTGGGGTTAATGCTTATCTCGGGTAGCTCCTTAAAGCGATTGGCACATCCCTCTGATAGTGGATCCTGGGGAGGGGAGGGGCCTCTGCCATGTGCCACTGTCCACAGGCACCATTCCAGCAGCTCCCATTGACTGTAGGCTGCAGAGTCAGCACTGGAAGCAGCACTGAGATCCCCTGACCTCCCCCAGGGGCTACATGGATGGGTCCAGCTGCAAAGCAGAGTGGAGCCAAGGCAGCCTGGCTGCACTGCTTGACTTTTAGTCCTCCCCCCCCCCACTCTCCTGGATTGGCTGAAGTAGCATTTGGGAGACAGAGTGTGATTCCCAGCAAAAGCAAGAGGGCTGGAAACCCTATCTGCTTAAAAGTACATACATTCAGTAATATTATATGGAATCACTTATCAACTGAGGTTCAGCCCTCCCTCCATCTTTTTAGACCAGAAACCTTTACTATGCATTCCTTGAAAAGTGAATCTCAAACCAAACCTTTCTGTCTCCTGTTGGCTGTAGATACCATGCTGTTCCTTCCTCCTCCACATTTCAGAGGTAGCCATGTTAGTCTGTTTCAGCTAAAACAAGAAGGAGTCTGATGGCACCTTAAAGACAAACAATTTTATCATGGCATATAACCTTTCATGAGTTATTCTGACGTTTTCCCACATCTCTTTGTTAGTCTGACAGGTCTGTTTACATGATATGTAAATACATACTGCTTGTCCTTCAAAATACTTTGGAAGTAACTTCCAGGTGGGGAGAACCATTTCTTTGTTAAGTGCAGGCCTGTATATCAGCTCTCCCTGACAAATCTGGTTTACAAACGCTTCAGTCATAATGTCAGTTTCTTCCATAACTTTTGAAACTCACCATGACGTACATCCTACAAGAATGTATTAACAATCAGAGAGTTGTTAGTTTTTAAATGATACTTCACAAGGTGTATTGTGTATAAAGATTATTACAGTGGCACATAGGGTGTGACTATATGGGTGCTAAATGTCATTGGGAGCTTTTACCTCCGTTGTTTCCAGCTTTTGGACTAAAGCAGCAGATTACATTTGAAAAAAACAATGATCAGGGCTAGGTGACACGCAGTTTCTATGAGAAGAGGGACACAACAAACCTGGAACTTGCATGGATGCTATCACTGATTCAAAGGTGGGGAGGGAGGGAGGCTCCTGCCGCCTCCCCTGCCCCCTGCTGTTTTGCACCTTTCACTAAGGAAGCCTGCATCTCATCTCCATGGCGGCCTCCAGCCCCTCTGCCCCGCCACCTTATGACAGCCGCATTCCCCCATAGCAGCGTCTCTCCCCCCAGCGTCCTGCTCTGGTCCCCCAGGACAACCCCCGTAGCTGCGCAACCCCCCATGAGCGCGCCTCTCCCCTAGGGTAAGGCGAGGCTCTGCCTGGGCTGCCTGAGCCTCACTCCCGTTGCTAGGTAACATCCTCCTCTGTGCGCCAGGGACCCACGCGGCCGCACTACCCTCACCCGCAGTCGGCAGCGCGCCTCCCATTGGTCAGCTGCGCACTGCGCTGGGTTTCCACTGGGCGGCCTCTCCCTGAGCCGCTCTCCCATTGGCGAACAGCAATCTGCCCAGGCCGCGTCACGTTCTCACACCATGCGCCAGCACCACCGCCGCTGGTTGGGAGGGGGGACAGCAGCGGACCCTGCGACGGGGGATGCTGATTGGGCGGGCGAGCTGCCGCTCACGATTCAAGCGGCCGCTTGGGCGGCGGGGCTGTTTTAAAGGCGCCGCTGCTGCTCGCAGGCCCCATCCAGTTGCTGAGCGGGAGAGAGAACGAAGCGGCGAGTCGCGGCGCGCAGGTGAGAGCGGGGCAGAGGCGCGGCCTCCGCCGCCCTAGCCCCTCGCGGGGGGCGGTGCTGGGCTGCCTGGCTCCGCTCGGGGCTTGTTGGGGACCTGCGGCACCCGCGTCCCGGGGGATGCGGCTGCCGGGCGTGCCGGTGAGCTCAGCCCCACAGCGGGCTGGGCAGGGGCCGCGTTGGGTGCCAGCATCCACCAGCCCCGTGAGGCTTCTCCGTGCCTGCCTCGCAGCCGGGGGGTGGTGGGGCTGAGTGGGCGCCCCGCTGCATCGCACAGGACAGGGGCGGTGCTGTCCTGCGAGCTTTGTGCCCGCACGAAACGGGGACTTTCCGTGCCCTGCATGCTAAGGAGCCGCCAGCCCTGGTGCCTGGTCTGCCTGGGTATCATCCGAGGCTCACCTGTCACTGAAAGGTACCTTCGAGGAGTTAGACCCCACCTCAGTATAAATCTGGTGGAACAAGGCAGCTAGAAAGAGACTGTGAAAACGGAGGCTAAATACCAACGAGAGTATGTATGGGGAGGGTAGTCGTGTTAGTCTTTATCTGCAAACACGAGGACACGTGTGGCATCTTACAGACTAACAGATTTCTCTGGGCGTATGTTTTTGTGGATCATTTGTCCTTTTCATATGTGTTCACTTTTTTTTTTAATTGTACCCTTTGGTATCTATGGTTGTGACTATTTTCTTCCACTATTTGATCTGAGGAAGTGGGTCTGGCCCACCAAAGCTCATCATCTAATAAACCATCTTGTTAGTCTTTAAAGTGCTACATAGTCCTGTATTTTGTTTCAGCTACACCAGACTAACATGGCTACATTTCTAACACTATTCTGCCCAAATAGTGTTAGTCTTTAAGGTAACAAGGGTATGGAGGTTGGTTTTTGTCTTGTAGTACTACATAAAATGAACCAGGTTTCTACAGGTGTATAGAAAGTTACAACTGCTGCTCCTACAGCGGTGGATACCGCCAAGGCATAGGTCAGTCTTTTATTGCATGGTGTTTGTGTGACCAGAACCTCCACAGAATGCTTTTCACCTGATACAACTCTAGACTGGTATACACTATCTCTGACCCATCTGGGTGTGGCTATTACTGGGAATTTTACTTGCACATGTATGGGGCTTTTGGAGGCAGAACATTGAAGGGAATCTTCTATGTCTTATAGAACAAAATAATTAAAAGGAGTTGGAGGTACTGTTCTAGTGAAATTCAGCCACATACTAAAACACATAGGTTTAGCTGTCAGTCTTCTATACAAGCTTTGGAAATGAAGCTGGCTTCACAGTGCCTCAGGAACTGAACTGACTGGGTAATCAAAAGCAGACATGAGTGCAAGGCATAATTTAGTGGATAATATTACTGGCTCTTCTTTTTATGTTTGTGTGCGCATTAAATAAATTTTGTTTCTGCTCCACTTCATTGTGGTCAGAACTCCAGGTCCCAAAAACAAATTTTCATCTCCTTACATTAGCCCTCTTTACTTTTAATCAAATATAGCAAACTTGCTATTAAGTCTTTACTTTTTTTCCCCACTTTGGCAAGAGCCCAGTTATTTACAAGATCAAACCCAATCACAGGATTAAGTATGTGTTTTTACTATGCAAGGGGCTTTATAATAACTGAAATCCTGTTTGTTTTTTTACAGTAGCTGTGTAAAATCTGATATGGGAAGAGAAACTATTTCTCTGAGGAATTCTTAAATCCTAGTTACTTTCTGAGCTTCTTGAAAAGACGCATGAATTTAATATATGCGCTGCACTTAGATTTTAGGCAGTATGCATTTGTAATAATGAGCTGTAACCAGAAGAGTTGCATTGCCTCAATTTTTCATGTACTAGCAGCAGCTTGCTTTAAATTGCTGAATATCTACAGAACCTTTTTCATATGTTTGGTAGAAATACAAGATAATTGTTCAGTGTCTAATGCATGCTGTATTCAATGTACACAGATTAAATATATTTTGAAATGGGTGGAGAAAAGAACTACATTAAGTTAATGGTTATTTAACTGAGTATCAAATTCCCCATAGCGGTATTTGTTCAGAAACAAATAGTGACTTTTATTTCATTTATGAAACACATTTCAGGAATAAAAGGAAAAAAGTCAATGACCAATTGTCACCTGCAAGACCTAAATATTTGAATTCTTAATCTGTTCTGGAGCTTCCAGCACACTCTTTACTGTGAAATAAATACTTTTTTTTTTCAAAAAATAAAAACTTGAAATAGTCTAGAGAATGACCTCAAACCAGCACAGCTTGCTCTAATTTTAAAAACAAAACTGTGTGTACTACCATATGTCTCTCCCATTCTAGGAAAACTGCTAGTAGGGTTTTGCAATCATGGCAAGTTCTGTTGTGGCTTGCCTGTTATGCCTCCAAGAGCCTTAAAAAGGCACAAGGTTAAATCACTTAATTTTTTTACCTATGTTAAAACATTTTGAATAATTAAAATTGTTGAGGTGTTTTTTTTTAAAAAAAAAAAAGCAAACAAGCCTCTTTTAAAGTCTTTTCTCTTAACTTGTAACAAAGAAAATAGATTGCTACAATTCCGGTGGAACTTGAGATGAGAATTTGATCCAGAAGGCAGAAGTGCCTTCCTGCCACTGCTCCCTTTCCTCCAGGCTTGTAAATCATCATAAGGTATTGCAGTAAAAACCTCAGGCAACCCTTGAGCTGTCTAGGTTACCAGTGACTTATAGTAGAATGCCATAGAAATAGCCTTCTTGCAAAATCTTTTTTACTTAAAGGCAAGAAACCTGAATTTGACTAAAACAAAGTACTTTCAGTATGAACAGTGGCTTTTAATGGAATAAGTTATTTAAAAAAATCTAAGACTTGGAATTAAATAACTGAAGTTAATGTTTGGGAGAGAAGCTAGAATAAGCAGCAGCTTTGCAGACTGTAGTTCCCCACCCACAAGTGCTGTACTGGTACTGCTTCATTCCACATCATTGTAGTGTGTCCCAGTCCCAATCCTGAACTGGAGAGGCCTTCTAGGATGGAGGGAATATAACTAATTATCATCAATGCAACAAATCCTTTTGATATGCTAAGAACTTGTTTGGCTGCCTGTTTTAAAATTGTTCTATGGGTTATTACTACGCTGACCCTTCATCCTGGATTTTTCCAGGAGATTTCAAAATACTCTGTCCTGTTATCTCCATAAAGCACTGAAATGTCCTGGAAATTCTAATATTTTGGCAGGGTGAGGGGAAAAAGCCCTGAGGCTCCCTGCTGGATCCAGCTTACAGAGAAGGTGTGCTGCTGCTTCCTTTCCCCCAGCTGGAAAAACAGCCTCACAGGGAAGTGATTCCTGGCAGCTTTCCCCTTTGGCCAGATTCAGAAAGGTATTCCTGTGAGGCTGCTCTCCCAGCTGGCGGAAGGGAAGCACCAGCACATGGAATCTGGTCAATGGGAGCAGCAGGAGGCCATGCCTGAAGCAATTAAGTGCCCTTCTCCCACACAGATCCCACACTCCCAGCCTGCTCCTGCACCCTCCTTCCTTGCCAGACACCCTATCCACACCCCCAACCTGTTTCTCCACCTTCCCTTGCTCCTGCATCCTCCCCCCCACCAGAAACCTACCTCCAGCACACTCATTCACTACCTCAACCCCCCCATCTCATGTCACTGCTCTGTGTACTGATTTTTGGTGCAGAAAATATGGTCATGATAGTTATTACATCAGATTTGGCATGAACTAAGTCATTTTGTCTTCCTAATATAGTATTAGGGAAGTTACAGATTTAATATTGCTGACATTGTGAACCAGATTGTTTTTAAAAAAAATGCTGAATGCTCACTCATGAAGGTGGATGTCTTTCTACCATAGCACAAACATTACAAGCATCATTATCTCCCAACAATAAACTACCCCTACTTTCCTGTTTATGGAACTCATTCTTTTCCTTAAGAAAATGCTTGTAGGAGTCAGAGGATTGCTCAGTTTCTGTAACTCCTAGGGAGCAAAAGTCTTTGCCATGTGCCAAACTATCAATCTGAGTTGGATTTAACCAAAGTGAAAGCTGGATTTGATCTTTCAATCTTCTAAGCCAGAAGTGGGGAACCTTTTTTGGGTGTGGGGAGGGATACTAGACCACAAAACAGTCAGGGGCTGCACAAAAATGAGACATGCCAAACCTCTCCTACCCCCCCCTTTGCCCCCCACAACAACACCAAACCCTCACTGATGTGGACCTTCATTGAGAAGGAGACATTCTCCTCACACACCAGAGCCTAAATAGGCTCCCCAAATGCTGGGGGGCGGGGCAGGGAACTGAGCCTTGGGGGCTGGATCCAGGCAAGCTGGGGGCTTCATCCAGCCCCCTGGCCTTAGAGCAAGAGTGAGGAACCTAAGTCATGCAGGCCCTCTTGGTACTGTATTGTTATAGTAGCAACTATGGTATCAAAATATTTTTGTCTTTGACATGCACCAGCATTTTATATAAAAGTTCTAATTAAAAAAATTCAATTTTGAAAATGGCAACAATGGATGTAATTGGAGCCCTGTCTTTTGAATAGTGTTTTGTCTTTAAATGCTCTTTGTACATGACTAGGAAGTCTCTTCTGCCACTTGAAGTGAGTACTTGCCTTGAAGCTGAAGAGTAATACTGTAATCCAAAACAGGGCAGTTTGCAAGTGAATTTATTTTACCACTGACACTTCTATTCAGGAAGTCTTTTTCCTACTGAGTGTCGCAGGCTTCAGTCAAACCAGAGTTCATCCATCCTCTGACTTCACTGAACTGGTTATATTAGTATGCTTGTAAACACTATTCAGAATCTCTTCTGATAGCCTAATTAATGTTTAATTTCAATTTGGGGTCTATCAGATTACATATACTACAGAAAGTTATTTTTATTAGCTTAATTCTCATAGCTCAAGAACTAGGGGTCATCAAGTGAAATTAATGGACAGCAGTTTTTAAACAGCATTTTTAAACACAATGCACAACCAACCCATGGAACTCCTTACCAGGTGTGAAGGCCAAGATTTTATA